GCTTGGAAGCTTCCCCACAATACTTTTCTTCCCCAAACACTCTTCTCGGCCAATCAAGTACCCATCAGAGAAGAGGGATGTTGATTCATTGATGGCTTTCATCAATGCCCTCCGGTAACCGGACTTTTGAAATGTTTAAAGAAAGTAGTCAAGGTATTGGAGAATCGGAGTCCCCAAGCTCCCATTCATCACCATACCTGAAAGGTGAAGTCAACATTCGTTGGCAAACCAGCTGGATAAATTGCACTGATTTTACTTAGAATCTGTGTTTTTGGTAATGTATTTATGTTTCTCTATGAATAATTCTGAATCGTTAGGTGTAGTGTATTCTCACCTTAGTCAAAGTTCCTTATGGGACATCGTAGGGCTTTTGAATATTTTATTTTTTACTTTTTATTTTCTGTTTTGTTGTTGGTTAGAGATTGTCCACAATGAGATATCTGATTTTGGAAATGGGAAACGTAGGTTTTATTGTTTGTTTCCTGTATCGGATTGCTGGATGTACTTGCCAGTTTTCTTTCTCCTAGTTGCTTTATCTGTTCTCGTGACTGAAAATTATGAATTTCTCAGAACACTTTTCCCCATTCTGCAGCATGGTATTTCCCAGAAATTCAACATGTCAATCTTGTGCAGAAGATACAGCTAAGCACCTGAGCTGTGATACTTGCACATATCGCCATCTCAAACTAAGTCCAAACTTATTATAATTATAGTATTTTGTTTGTATGACCACAACACTACACTTGGTTAAAGATTGCGATGTAACTTTGATATAAGATGTAATTGTAGGCGAAAAGGTTACATTGTACTTGCAAATGCCTAGGATTCCAATTCCAAATTGCTTGAGATTCTTTATCCTCTCCTCTCTTCTATAAAACATGTCTCTCCTCCAGTCCTGTTTCTTCAATTATTTAATCCATAAAAACAACTTTTCATTAGCTGTCTGTCTGAAGACAGAGAAACTAGAAGATGCCAATAGTCTTGTGTTGTGCGCTCTAAGTTCTAACCATTTTCATATATTTATATATTCATAGCTTTCCAAGTTACAGTTGAGAAAGAAAACCCAGAATCCGTTGGTTGAACAAGATTTACCTTCCATTTCAGTCACAGTACGTATAAAGCTTAAGCTTTATCATAAAATCCCTTTTGTCAAAGATGCTCAACGGCAATGTCGGCAGCAAGGCATCAGCAGATATCAGATTAATGTTGGATAGTTTATGAACTGGTTTGAAATGATTTGGAATGTTCTCTAATGACGAATGCTGCATGCTATTTTAAAGTAGAGATTAAAAAAAAAACAAGAAAAATTTGTTTTGGTGACCCACCTGAGGCCTCACCTGTATAAAGCTCGTGACTCACTGGTGAACCGTAGATACTGCTGTGTCTGTATTATTTTGTTTTGTTTGCTAACCCCTACCCCAAAGTAACACAGAGGTTGCTCGTGCTTCCAATCCATTTTTGGCTGGCAATGTCTTTCTTTCCCCCCTCTCTACATCTACACAGACGAATGATTTAACACTAATTTTAACAGCACACCACTGTATTGTTCCATGTAATCTTTTTTGTTATTTTCCTCGCCTGAATCAAATTCCAAGTGATGTAACCAAATGTCCAATTCACTCTTGACAGAAGCCAGAAGGCCAGCCTGTAATTTAAAAAACCATTCCAAAAGTAGAGACTACAGAGTTAAGGAAGAACCAAAACCCAACCCACGTTTTATATTCTTTTTACTTTTGTCTTCTCAACTCTCAACTGGCAAGTGGCAACCCTACAGTACAGCTCCAGAAAGTCCTTTTATTTTCAAGTATGTCCTTTTCTTCTCAACTATTTGCCTTGAGGGCACCCAACTCAACTAATTAGGGAAAAGAATCAAATAAAAGTTGCAACTACCCTCTTTAAGTCTTTCTAATTTATTATTTATTGTCGGCACACAAGGCCATTTTAGTGAATTCCTTTCCTTCACCTTGCTATCTCTCTACAAAAATTCAGAACTGCTCTCTCCTCTGACTGACTTCCACTCTTTCATCTCATCACCGTCTTCTTTTTCTTCATTCAAACACTGACATCTCTTGGGTCAACAACCAAAACCCAGAAGAAAGAAATAAACCACAAAAAGGAGGAAGCTTTGAGAGGATAATGCAAGGATCTGTAGCTGAACCAGAAACAGAGGATGAGGAAGCCAAGCTCAAGCTCCTCTCCAATGACAATCACTAACCTCTCACTTTCAACCATCTACTTCTGCTTCTTCTTTATCTCCACTTTACTCTTCACAGCGTCTCAAGGTAATCACTTTAACCCATGCTTGCTTCAAAATGAAGAAAGCAAGCAACACCCTTTACTCTTTCTAACATTTTGTTGATGGGTTTTCAGCTACCTCTTCTTCACCCATTTTGACAACCACAAAGCAGCAGCAAAATCAAGACCAAGACAAAGAGCCATTCGTGGGAGTGAACATAGGCACAGACGTTTCGAATCTTCTATCTCCCTCAGACCTCGTTTCGTTCCTCCAAGTCCAGCAGATCAACCACATACGCCTCTACGATGCGGACCCTGACATTCTCAAAGCCTTGGCCAAAACCAAGATCCGAGTCATTATCAGTGTCCCCAATAATCAGATTCTCGCCATTGGGTCCTCCAACACCACTGCTGCTTCTTGGGTCGGTCGAAACGTCGTCGCATACTACCCAGAAACGCTCATAACAGGCATTGCGGTTGGCGATGAGGTCCTGACCACAGTGCCCTCTTCAGCTCCTCTGCTTCTTCCAGCAATTCAGTCGCTTTACAGTGCTTTAGTGGCTGCAAATTTGCATACCCATGTCAAGATTTCTACTCCTCACGCCGCCTCGATAATTCTTGACCCGTTTCCACCATCTCAGGCTTTCTTCAACCAAAGCTGGACGCAAATTGTGCTTCCATTGCTTCAGTTCTTGTCCAAGACAGGGTCGCCTCTGATGATGAATCTTTACCCTTACTACGTGTTTATGCAGAACAAAGGTGTGGTGCCTCTTGACAATGCCCTTTTCAAGCCTTTAACACCCTCCAAAGAAATGGTGGATCCCAATACTTTGCTTCACTATACCAATGTGTTAGATGCTATGATTGATGCTGCTTATTTTTCCATGAAAAACCTCAATATCACTGATGTTGTGGTTCTTGTTACTGAGAGTGGTTGGCCCTCAAAGGCTGATTCTAAAGAGCCTTTTGCTACTATTGACAACGCGGATACATACAATTCCAATCTTATTAAGCATGTTTTTGATCGTAGTGGCACCCCTTTGCACCCCGAGACCACTTCAAGCGTGTACATTTATGAATTGTTCAACGAAGATTTAAGGTCTCCGCCGGTATCCGAGGCCAATTGGGGCCTGTTTTATGGGAATTCGAGTGCGGTGTATTTGCTACATGTATCAGGAAGTGGGTCTTTTTTGGCTAATGATACAACAAACCAGACCTATTGCATTGCCATGGATGGAGTAGACTCAAAGATTTTGCAGGCGGCATTGGATTGGGCATGTGGACCGGGGCGATCCAATTGCTCAGAGATCCAGCCAGGGCAGGATTGTTACTCTCCTAATAATGTGAAAAGCCATGCTTCATATGCGTTTGATAGCTATTACCAGAAGGAAGGGAGGGCTGCTGGGTCTTGTGATTTCAAGGGTGTAGCCACCATTACCACCACAGACCCAAGTAAGTGCTACTTCTCCATCCTGGTTCTAGCATGCTTGGATATTTTTATTTGTGCCCTTTCATTCAATGATTTTCCTTTAGCCCAATAATGGTGGCAGAACACTTCAATAGATTCGAGACCAAGGCTAAGATTGCCTTCGTAAAGATGTCTCTTTGTTGTTGTAGTCTTGCAAACAAAATTGTACTAGAAATATATGTGATCTTAGATATGCTATATATTGCTTTGGCCCAAATGGGCTCCACATACTTTGTAATTTTGTGCACTTCTTCTTGGTGATTTTCTGTACTGAACTTTTTCTTCTTCTTCTTTTTGGTGGGAATGTATTACAGGTCACGGGAGCTGTATATTTCCTGGAAGGTAAAGCTTGAGAGACTTGACTTTCTTACTTTTGTTGCTACATACTATATGCAATGTAAAAAGTAATAACCATTGTTGTTGGTCTTGGATACAATGAAGCTAGTTTGCATTGTTCTTCCTTAACAAGGGATATTTGGTTTTGTTTTGGGTGCAGTAAGAAGGTGATCAATAAAACAAGGCAGGTGGTGAACTCGACCCATTCAAGTAGTGGAGCAGACAGATTAAGATTCATTGCCTTGAGCAGCAACAGAATAAGTGCCATCAGTGGGATATTATCTGTATTTTTTCTTGTAATTTTCTCTACTTTGTTATTCATTCCTTTTGTGACTCCTTGCTGAGGTAGAAATAAAATAATTTTTTTCTAATGTACAAGTGTGTTTTGAATTTCCTGGTAAACAGTAATTTGCATAGGTTGCTTGTTTTGTTTTTGTAGATGCTTTACTTGGTTGTCTGTTAGATTATGAAATACAGAGACACACAAAAAGAACAAAGGGAAAAAGAAAAAGGGAAAAGTTGAATATCATGTACTGTACATTAATAGTTCTTCACACCATCCATCTGATTAGGTTAAATAATTGAAAACTAGATGGTGAGAGAGCTATCCTCCTTTTCCCAACCAATGGCTGGCTATTCTGAGCTTAATGGGTGGTTGTTTGTTGTTGAGCCACCGACCGAAATAGCTTTTGTGAATTTACAATAAAAATGTATTTTTGCGGTGAGCGTGGATCGAACACGCGACCTTCAGATCTTCAGTCTGACGCTCTCCCAACTGAGCTATCCCCGCCGATGTTATTCTTTAAGCTTTATGTAGCTTTACTATAATATTTCCTTTGTAATTTTAGTTAACTACTGTCGTTGACTAATCAACGACTTCATTATTTGCGTCGTTTGACATTCTTTAAGTAGTCCGTACGGTAGTCCAGCACAGAACAGTTACAGAGGATATGTAAAGATCATGGAACCAGAAAAGAGTAGAACAACAAAAATACCAAAAAGCGAGCGCTAGTTTTCAAAATTGGGTTTTCGTTCCTAAATAACAATGCCCTCCAAAAGTTTATAGCGATAAAGTTGTTCAGTACAGCAGCTTCGCTAACTTTCCCAACTCATCTTCTCCACCGTCCCATAATAAACCCTAGAAAAGCCTGTTATACTCTGACCGTACAAATGTCTTGGGCATGCAAAAAATGCACCTTTGTCAACCCCCCAACCCCATCTCAAAAACCCACATGCCAAATCTGCTCATCACCATCATCATCATCACCACCCCCATCACCAGCATCTTCTTCTATTCCAAAATGGTCATGCAAGGCCTGCACTTTCTTGAACGCTTACAAGAACTCTAACTGTGAAGTCTGTGACACCAGGGCTTCAATCTCGTCCCTCTCGAGTTTTGAGGATTTGACCGATACGGGGCTTGATGGTGGAGACCTCGATTCTTCGGTAGGCTCTGTTTTCTTGCCCCTGCAGCGTTGCAAGAGGAAGAGGGTTGAAGACCCAGTTGAGGTTAATCAGGGTTCTTCCAGTTTCAATGTGGTTCGAGAGGTCAAGGCATCCGATAAGTTGACGACTGTATCGGGTTCTTCCAGTTTCAATGTGTCTGGAGGGGTGCCCGATAAGGGAATGAATGTGTCGGGTACGTTTAGATTCCATAATCTGCGTTTTTTGGGTTTGATTTGTTTCATGCTTGAACTGATAAAGGTGTGAACTTTCTTCCTAATCGATTGCTAATTTTCTTCTTTTCTATTGAATGTACGTGGTGATGGGTCGTTGTGTAATCTGTATGGGGGTAGCTTTATTCTGTGAATGTAGGTGGAACGAGTGTTAGTATACTGCTGAGAAAAGTGAGAGTAGACGCTTCAAGATTTGACCTTTTATCAATGACCCATTCCAATTACTCCAACAACCATTCTATTCTCATGCTGACCATTTGTTTTTTGAACAAAGGTCACTGGAAGTTGAGAACTACCATTTCTAAATGTAATGCATAGTGTGTGTATATTCTCAAAGCCACCAACTCAGTAAGAATCGCTAAATTCTTCTCCAACTTATCAGGTTGACCTGGTAGGCATAAACTCATCTTTGATTTTCATCTAAAATTCTTAATTTACTTTTGAGTCTGCAATAGATTCCCCTTATCCTCTTCTTCATTTCAATTGAACTAAAGGAATTTAGATCCCAAGCTACCAATTTCAAGAAGCAGCGGCAAAACCCATTCGCAATAAACTACAGAGCAATTGATTTTGTGTAAGAAATGTTTTGTTGCTTTAATCATCAAGAAGAAAACAGAAGCTTTGGCAAGAGGGAGATGAGCTAGGTAACTGAAAATTTCAAAATCCTTTAGCTTAATGTTTAGCTCGTCTGTTGGAGCACCTTTTCTATTAGATTTACACCAAAATAGCTAAGCAGTAGTATCATATTTCAGAGATGCTGGAGATGGTCTTAAAGTTCTACTTGTTATGCCTGTGTTGACTTGGAAGATTCTGTAGTTGAGTTAGTTATTATGTATTTTATTTCTTCAACTGTTCCTGGTTTGCACTCTGTGAACCTCATGGGGTTTCTCACTATGAATAAGTTAAATATTTACAGAGGGAACTAGTTTTGGGTCTTCTGGTGTGGGTTTGACGACATTGAAAATTCTTAGTTACAATGTCTGGTTCCGAGAAGATCTAGAAGTGCACAAGAGAATGAAAGCTCTTGGTGACCTTATCCAACAGCACTGCCCAGATCTCATTTGCTTTCAGGTTTCCTCACCCTCTTAACTGGAAATATCATTATATTTAGCCTTTTACACTTCTTTTATCTGATGACCACTTTTGTCCTCCAGGAGGTCACCCCAAATATATATGACATCTTTCGGCAATCTAGCTGGTGGAAAATGTATCAAAGCTCAGTTTCGAACCAGATGGCAGATTCAAGACCATACTTTTGCATGCAGGTGAATGTTTGATCTCTTTTGTACTGGGTTTTATTTTCAAATGCCAGAGAATGGTATCTGCTTTTCTACGAGTTTCTTGCTTGTCTTGTTGTTTGAGAAAGTGTTTTGCTAATTTCATAAGATGAATGCATCTTTTAGTAAGCATGATATCATCTGACAGATGAATTATTATGTAGTTAAGCAAATTGGGAGTGAAGTCCTTCAGCTGTAAGCCCTTTGGATACTCTGCAATGGGGAGAGAACTTTGTGTTGCTGAAGTTGAAGTCCTGGGGGACAAACATTTGGTTGTTGCCACTAGCCATCTCGAAAGTCCTTGCCCCGGCCCTCCAAACTGGGATCAGATGTACAGTAAAGAACGTGTAGATCAGGCAAAGGAGGCCCTCAACCTTTTAAACAAGAACCAAAATGTGATTTTTTGTGGTGACATGAACTGGGATAACAAGTTGGATGGTCAATTTCCTTTACCCAACAAATGGATTGACGCTTGGGAAGAGTTAAGACCAGAGGAAAATGGATGGACATATGATACCAAGTCCAACATGATGTTGTCTGGCAACCGGAAACTGCAGAAGCGACTAGATCGATTTTTGTGTAGTCTGCATCATTTTAGAGTGAGTAAAATTGAAATGATTGGGATGGATGCAATACCAGGTCTATCTTATATTAAGGAAAAAAAAGTGAGGACGGAGATCAAGAAGCTGGAGCTCCCTGTTTTGCCTAGCGATCACTACGGCTTGCTTTTGACAATCTGTAGCCAGTGATGTCAGTTTGGTGACATAAATGATAGAATTTATCGTGTGCTCACCGACCTTTCTCTTGTGGCCGACTGGCAATCCTGCCATGCATGCCTTGCATGGTATTTTGAGTATAGATTGCATATGAATATGATATGGAAGTTGGATTGTTGCATTTACATTTTGTATGAAGTTTCATGGATGAAATCGTTCACTTAAAATGCAACTCCCAAACTGAATGGCTTGTATTTTGTTTAGTATCTTCAGATTCTTGTTATGAACAATGACTTTCTTATATATTTTCTAATTAATTCCCCCCTGTCAAAACTTAATATGCTTATTACAACATAAATAATGGGGAGGAAACTGAAACACATAAAAGTGATAGAAAAAACATGTTTTCGTTACTAGAAATGGGTAATGTAGAAGATAAATATATACAACTTAAATAACATAAAAAGAATGAAATGATGAGGTTATGTGCTTCTTTTATTAACAAGGTTTCTGTATTATGAAGAACATCTTTGAGAAACACTCGCTTGCTGTAAAATGGTTTGAAACGCTTTTGTGTTTGATAGAGGCACCGTCATCAAGCCAATGTTGATAATTCAGATCTCTCTGCGGCTGCAGGAGCCTCCAGTCTTACATAGTCATATAGAACTCCACAGAGTGCATCACCACCCCTAGCTTGTGTAAGAAATATGGAGTTATCTCCCTTAACCAGAAATGATGACGAAATATCACAGCTGAAAAGCCGGTAGAGTCCATGAATTCCGTGTCGACAAACTGTGTTATCTGTACCCAAGTTCAAAACTTGAAACACCAGGTGCTCTATATCCATATCATTAACATGGGCCTGCAGCTCAGAAGTAAGGGTAAACTTGTCGAAATTAGTAAATTTAATGACATGTTGTTTATGCATTTCTAATTATTGGGAATTCTAGCAATTACTAACTACTTAAGAAAAGTTCATGAACAAACACAAATGCAATTTGTTGAAAGAAACTATTCAGGACTTGTAGTGCTTTGGTTTTCCAAATCAGGTGAGAAGTTTTTCATTTTTATGGCTTTTGAAACAGTTCAATAGTTTTCTTTTTCTTGAACTTTTGCCATCCATACTTTCAGGTCTGAGCGGGTTGCTGAAGCAATTGCCAGTCTCAGCTTGTATGTGCCAGTAGTTACAGAGTTGAGGTTGAACTTGATTGTCCATGTTGTTGGAAGGTATTTATTATCTGCCCCCCTCCTGCAAAAGTCAAATTATTTATATCAAGCACATACTTTATTTCATACAGTTAAATTTGAATGAAAGCATTTTTGTCTATGAAGATTGAGGCTGCTTTTATTGAATGATGGCAACGTTTCTGGTTTTGTATTGCAAATAACCAATGTATGCATTATTCATGGCGTAAAGGAAAGAAGGAAAGACCTGTCTACATGAGCAAAGAACCAGTCATTTTTTGGATTACTGCTGCCTATTGTGAAGGTCTGGTCAAATTGAGGGTGTACATCAGTGTATCTGTCCCACAAGCCATATTGTCTAAACCTGTAATGTGAAGCGAATATCAAACATAAAATAAGAGTTCAATTTAGTTTCATTTTTAGGGAAGGGATGAGTTCACTTACTTTTCAGGGCTGTTAAGGAACAGCTTGTTGACATACATTGGGTTCACATCAGGAACATAGTAACCTATGGCCGTTCGATCGGGGAAGCCAATCTCCCAGAGAGTTGGACCATCTCTTGGGGGAACATAGGTCAGATTTCCAAGTTGTGTTTGTGATCCTGAGGAATTTTGGAAAACCAATGAAATATGACATTACATGATGAGTACTAGTCAACCATAAGTTGATCTGTTTAGCTAACTGTATCGCACGATTTGACATTGAACTGGAATCCTATAAGAATGGAAGATAGCCTCCTCATCCACAGAAACTTCTGCTGTAGAAAGTACCTGCGGAGATGGTGATATGTTCTTTGCCAAGGTAATCACCCAGGAAACCAGGGATCCAGCCATGAAGTCCATATACTCCAGGGATAACATTCTTGATGGTGAAGTTTCCGGTGTAATCTGTTTCCACCCAAAACTGATAGTCCTGCATAGAATTGAAATCTAAATGTCAAATTAAGAAGGTTACATGTGCCTCAAGCTTGTAGTCTGTTAGGAAGTCTTAAGATTGGTTGTGCCAAGAACAAAAGTGGAAGATCAACATTTGCATGTTTTGCAGGGTAAGAATGGTTAGTAATTACCTTGCTTTCTGTTTGCCAGGATCCTTCAGTTGTTGCAGCTGACAGGCCAACATATGCATATTTAGCAGGAAT